TGTAAGGTGACAGGTCCGATTTTCTGCATACAAAAGCCAATGCAATTATCACATATTTGACTGGGAAAAGCAAGTCTATAAAAAGCAGTGTATGATGTGCAAGGCAGCGCTGAAAGGAGCCCATTCATCACTGCTAAAACTGTTATAAGATCTCAGTGCAATATTATCCAACTTCTACAAATTCTTTCAAATCTACTGAATACCTATTATAGAAAGATGATCGTATTCATCTTCTAGCATTGCAGTGTAGGTAAGTTTTACAGTCTCGAGCACAAAATAGTTAATGGGCTAGCCATTGATTTTGCTGATAATAAAGCCTACTAATTGTCAAAAGTATTCTGGTACCTTTGCAGAATAAGAAGCAAGGGTATATCGGAAAGTCAGAGATCAAACAATTAAAACAAAAAGCCAAGAGAACAGCTGGAGGAAAGCAGAGATAAAACAGAAGTCAGTCAAATTTGTGAAGTCCTGCAAGATGCCCTTGAAAAGATTCAAGAGAACTCTGGAATAAATTTTCCTAACTGAATAGTAATTTTGTACACTTTTCCTGAAACATTTTCAAAAGGCTTGATTTTCAGAACTTGGAAGCACTTCACCCTTCAAAAGGTCAGAGTTTAGAAGCACTTCAGAAGTTGAGCACTCAAATACTGAGGCCCCAAAATGAGCAGTTGCATTTTAAAATGCAAATCCGAAAAGAAATTAAGCATTATGAAGAGAAACTATGTACTCAACAGGAAAGAAAGTGACCAAGAACATGCTGGTATCAGACAATGTATGTAAGCAGAATAAGTAATACATCAGAAAACAAACAAATGCAGATGTTAATATGGTTAAGGAAGGGGAAATATGAACTTCATACACTGACCAGTTAAATGCACACACTTATTAGAGACAAGGTTTTTATACTGCAAGCTGTACCCCCATAATAGATGTGAAGTTTCGTGGACAGATTTGGAAGACAGGTATAAATATGAAAGTTTTGGTTGATGCTACAAATAGAAGTCTGGCAAATCAGAAGCAAAGGGGGAGAGAGAAAAGGTTGGATAAAAATGAAGGTCCAACTAAACTTTATACAGGAATCTGAAAATGAGGGCAAGTCTGAAATACTAAATTAATCCATTAATTTGTTCTCTGTCTTTTAAACAAAAAGATCCAAATTACGCAAGGTGCAAGCATGCAAGTTTAGGAGAAAACTCAACTGGTATGGCAATATTTAGGTGTTCATTCTCTAAATGGAAAATATTGTTGTGGGCAGGGAGGAGAAAAGGACAAAGAAATCTTGTTTCCAGAATTTTCTATTCATAAACCAGAGATAATCCAGGGCTTTTAGTAGTTACTGGTACTATCATCTGACTCAAGCAATACAGACAGAAAAAAGCATCACAAGAGCAACATGTACTAGGTACTACAATACTCAAAACTTCTGGACAAGGATTTATGTGGTTTCAGGAGGCTACCGATAAAGGCCGAAACTTCTTCCTCCCTCTCTTTCGCTGTGGTACCTTGTTCCCTAATAATTCTAAATTTTTTAAGTCCATGAGGGACCCCCTGCAGGGACTTCAGTTCTTTGAGAAAGTAAGAGTGCCAGATGCTCCAGGTACCCCATCAGCATCTCTGCCCTCACCACAGGGAAGTGCAGGACTTGTCATGTCAGCAAGATACCTTCACACAGTCTAGATTCATCATTTTGCTGTGGAAAGAGTCCTGCTGATCGGTCAAAGACTAGCAAGACCTGGGCCAAGTAGAGTGGCATACGAGATTAATATCACAGATGACACGGCAGTACCTTCCCCAACAGCTCTTGTACAGACTGGCACCTGATCTTTGTTTTACAAAGAGATGAAAAGCTAATGGACAAGATATGCCAAACAGCCGTGTTTTTCATAAGGTCAGTCAACAAAAAAAACTGTCCGCTGCCTGGCAAGATAAACTCTTACGTCTTAAGGAATAAGCATTTTAAGAACTAAGGTGATAAGCGCATTTCATGAGGCTACAGGATTTATTTGACATGAATAAATCCTTACAGAAGAAAAGAAAGCTGTTGCTAGGAAGGAAACAGATTGCATGCTAACATTTTACAAAAAAGAAAAAAAGACACTAGGTCTAATAAAATTGGGAAATAAAGTTATGCATAAAACATACCTATTCTAATTAAAAAAATAGGGTTGATCTTGATACTCATTTTCATTTTCCAGTACTCCATGGTATCAGTCTTAAAGTCTTATTCTTACATTCTTGGTTTGTTTTGTTTTTTTTAATCTCCATAATGAATAGTACTAATTTGCTATATTTCTTCTGGTTAATATACATAGGATACCATTTAATCTCTAGGATTTTCAGGAAAAATGAAAGTTTTTTGAACATAATGAATTGGCTGAGGGTGTTCAATATAAGAACCCTCAAGGAAACAAAGAAACAAACAAAGGCATTTACTCTACTAGACCAGTTTTCATAAAGAAATACGCAGACCTTTGTCTTCAGAACATTATCACAAGCCCAGGCAATTAAATAGCATTAACTGCATCTAAAACAGTATTGCAGACAAAATCTATCATTTTTCAAAAACTCTATTTTACCTGTTTTCTAGTCTTAAACGTTACAGCCAAAAAAGTAATCCTGGTTCTCAGTTTTTTAAGAAGATAGAAAGGGAACAGTCCCAAATATTATTATTTCACACTCTGACAGCTTCCTTATTCTTATTTGGTGTTTCTTAGGAAGGCCTAGTTTACAGAGCTTCTTAAATGCTCAGAAATCTCAGAAAATTAAGAAAATTGGTAAAATTCTTAAGGAATTTTCTTCATTGCTGTGTTCTAACTTAAGAGTTTTGACTAATATTCAGTAAATCACTATGGAATATGCTTTGAAGCATGAACACAGTACTGACATCTACTGGTGGCTGGAATTATCGATTAGTTTCACATAAAAAAATGTTTTAAGTACACAGTGAAAGAAAATAAATGGACAACTTGTAAAGATTAATGTAAAGTAAATATGAATGTGAGTGATTTAATCCATTTTAAAGCAATGCAGATATTCTAGTTTCATTAAATAACAAAAATCTAACAGTTGGCTTCCACTTCTCATTTTACAAGAGGAAAATAATAATTAATGAATCCTTATGGACTAAACATCTATCGTTTGGTCTTGTGACAACAGGCAAGTGAACCTGATGATTCAGTTGATCCAGTCTTTTGTTTCTATACAGCAGTTGTCCTTTAAAACGCAAGGATTTAACTTCCTTTGCCTGAAAGTAATAATTTCATATGTATTCTTTTTAATGAAAAATGAGAACTTCAAATGTTGATGTGCGGAATTTAAGACACCTTCTGTCTCTTTTCCGTAATTAATATTATTGGGTCATGCCTCACAGTGGCCTGCAGTGGAACTGTGAGTTGACAAAAACAATCAAGACATGCCAAGTACATGCTGGCTATGCTCATTTTTTTTTCCTGTACATTGATGGCTTTCACCTTTTCCCAGATTTCAGGTATGAAATTTTTGGTGTGATATATTTCCACCACTGCATCTCTAAGATGCCATGAATGCTGTCTAACACGTACCTCTTAATATTGGAAAAGCATCACCATTTCAGCATTCCAATAAAAGAAACTCCTTAATTAGATAATAAAGTTTTTTAAAAGCCAGTTCAGTTTGCTCAAGGCAAAAGTACTCACAGGTACAACTCTTTGATTACAAAAAAGACTTTACCTCTCCCATAAAACGCGTATATTCCTGCCTCACTGAAACTGTTTATACTTCCACTTATTGATCCTTTCATCATTCATATTCTGCAACATCAATTACAGAACTCAACTAAAATCCTTTTTTTTAACAACTGAAGCCATAATCCTCTCTGCACACATTGTATCTGAACACTTGTCTCAATCCCAAAGAGGACTCTCGGAGAGCAGAACGCTGCAGAACAAAGGCTGTTCACATGACTGATTTCATTAAGGGACTAAAAATTGCAGTTAGAACGGATTTAATTACAACAGGTTTGATAAGCTTGGATAATGAAGCCTAAAACGTCCAGGAACCTGATTTAGGCACTCCAAGGCCAAGATAGATAAGATAATTTAAATCAGACTTCTTTTTCCTTTACAACAGAGAACGTGGAGTTGAAAAATAGGTCCAATAACCTCACAGCAAGCTATTTCATATCAGGGGATGTATGCCTCTCTTACTTTTTTCTTGTTTTTATTAAAGACAAAAGAAAATACAGCATTGTTTATGTACCCTTAACTTTCAATGTAAGTCTCTCAAAAACCTCTTCTCTCTAGGCTAAAGCTTTACAAGTAAAATTTCATGTTAGAGTGTTAAGTCAAAAGCAGACTTGTACAATGTGCAGCTCCCAGGCCAGCATGGCTCACCAGCAAGTGAGAGGCAGAGTGCTCAGTCTGCAGTGGGGTGGCAGAGGAACAAGGAGTCATTAGGGAAGGTACTGCACCAGGGAGGGAGCTAATACTGACGTGGGCAAGAGAGGTGTGGAAGACTATTGTTGTAGGAAGTAGGGAATCCTGTGTTGGGATTTTAACGTACACATATATTGCTGCTCTACTGCCACAATGCTACGGTTGTGCAATGAAATTCTGACAAAATCTACATTACAGCATCTTCATTGGATGTAATAAAGTACTCACCTAAAAATTATTCTAAGTATTGCTTAAATGATTATGTTTTTCACTTCATGAAGAAAGCAGCTGACTTTTTCTTAAACGCACACTACAGTCTTTCTTGTTATCACTTTTACATCAAATGCCATCCAAACAAAAACCATTATTATACAAAAAGGTAGATAGTTCAAACTAAAAGTATTTGGTGATACATCATGGCATACAATCAATAAACACCCACTGAAATAGTTCTCTTATAAGCACACAAAAGACAATTAATAAGATTAATAAAATGGATACAAAAAAGGCACAATAGAAAACTATATTTTTAGTAAAATGCAGTAAAAACATACATAACAAGGTGCAATCTGTATTATCTAAACATACCTTTCCAAGATCTGCAGCCTGTTTTAAAATATCTCTTTTTAGATCTTCTGCTCTCTTGGAATGAAAAGAATTACTTTGACTCTGGATGATAAATACAATTTCCTTTAATTCTGTGAACCAGAAAATAACAAGATTTAAAGACAAAAGAAGTTATTTTCAGTTTTGCTCCAAAGCTACTGAGAACCCAGGTGTGGCAAGGGAATCTATTACATAGCAAGCTATTTCTTTAGTTATACAAACATTTCATGAAATAATAAAAAGGCATAATTTAACAGACAAAAAAATCCAAACCAGTCCTTTTTAGGCTTAACACATAAAAAGTATGACACGACTAGGAGAACCACAGCAACAAAGAAACTTACGCCCACAGTTAACAGTAGCCACATTCATTAAGTTCCTTTTTCTCCAATACACCAGCACTCCTTATTACCAGAGTTAAAAGGTGTTAGTCATGGACCAGAATCTCCCCTCACTAGGCAATGGATGAACATGAAATGGAAAAGATGCTTCTTCAATAAAGAGCTTAAAACCCTACCCAGAAACAAACATCAGATAGAAAGAGATGTACATGAGAACAAAGAGGTACAACTTTTACCTGGTAGGACAGCATCAACACCTCAAATGTGTTCTCAGTGTTTAAAGGCACAATAGTTAAGAACTTTCAACACAAGAGGAGACTGTGAGAAATTTAAAAGAAAATAATGAAGTAGCTTTGCAAACATTTATGGACCCAAAAAGGCGCTTATTAAAAAATACAAGTAGGTGACAAAGGCTGATACCATGGAGAAGCTGATGATAGCCAAATTTTCTTGAAGATAGTAGATAGAATAATGTCTCAGGACTTTGAAAGCTAAGAAAAACAGACAGATTTGATCCCATTCAGAAGCAGAACATAGCAGAGGAAGAGAAGATGAAAGGAAGACGACAGATGCCCTTTCAAAAATTCTTAACAAGTTTGACCTATGCTGCATAACCCACCGAAGACCATAACTAAGTTGCAACGTATGAGATGAGGAGCCACTATGTTGCAGTTTCTGTTTGGTTTGCCAGAAAAGGCTGAACTTTATAGATACTATGCAGAAAGTGGGCAGACGAGGACATTCAGGGTGCAACAACTTAAGAGGTGCAAGCAAGTGACTGACCAATTACTGCCTAAGGAACAACAAGACAGTAATGATGTTTAGTGTTCAAGGAGATAAGTAAGCCGACTTGTGGGGAGGGTGGGCAGGGATTGAGAACTGCATTTAAATTCGGTCACTCGAGGTGACAGTCAGATCAGGCATAAGAGATAACAGATTCTAGTTAATTCAAGGAGACAGCACAGAAAAGGCTGCTGAGTTAATGTGTACAGATGACATCACTCCAAGACAAGACAGTACCAAAAGGAAAGAAATCAAAGTTGAAGTCCCATGGGATCTGCACAGAATGTCAAAAAATGTGGAGAAGGAACAAAGTGCACACCAAAAAAAAAAAATATATAGGTAACAAAAAAGACATAGGAGTCGAATTTCAGAAAAGCAGAACTTCGAGACCACCATCATTAGCAACACTAGGAAAGCTGACAGAGAAATTAAAGATATAAAACCTCTAGGAGAGCTTTCTAAGAAGAGTTACTGGTATTCCAGCAAAACCAAACTTTCAATGAGATACAGGAGATGTCAAATTGAAGATAGTCCAGGATGAAAGTTCAGTAGAGAAAATCCAGAGAGTCACAGCTGACTGAAAGCTGCCAGATTTTACTGCCAGCAATGTCTGTGTAAAGATCCCAAGGACAGAGCACCTTAGAGGAACCATGTGAAGCTTCTTGTCAGGCAGTAGAGTATTTCAACACTTTTAATCTGCAGTTTCACTGAGGTATAAATTCAAGTTTTACTTCACGCAATATTTTTTTTTTAAATGCATATTCTTGCATCGTAGATCAAGCCAACCTAAAAGATCCTAGTTTCACATCAAGATCTTGACCTCTAGGTTAAAAACACTAACTTGGCAAATAAAGTAGAATGAGTGAAGAACAGTGGAACAAAGATGGAGAATAAATGTCCAAAGAAGGAATGTAGTGGTCTCCAGGAAAAAGAGTAAAACTGAGCACATGATGAAGGATCACAAGAAAAACAGTGGCAACAAAAAGATCATTAACCCTAAATATCTTTGCTAAGATTATGAGAAGATTGCCATGACCAAGACCTGACCATCAATTATATTCCTTTGTTCCTCTGAACAGTTACTTGTTAGTTTAGACCTACGGCAGCTCAAAGCTGCAGTTAAATCTTTTTCTGCTTTTCCCCTGATGCTCTTTTCCCTCAATTTATTAGCTTATTCACCAAGACAAACTCTGAAAATGTCAAATTGTGTGAGGTTTCTGGTGATAAAGTTGCAGAGATGGCATAAGCACTGACAGATATCAGTTCCCATTTAATGTTTTTTCCCATGCAGCATTCCTTCATGCTCTGACCCACCCAACAAACTGCTTAAAAAAACCATGCACACTAAAAATGTCTGAATAACAGCTATTTGCTATCTAGCAAGAAATTTGCTAGATTTCCTGTGCAAAAATTAAAATCAGTGCAAAAATTAAAACTACACTTCAATGATGCTAGTGAGAGTCAAAGGGCTAAATCTACATGCACAACACTGAAAATATCCCCAGAGACAAAAAGTAAAAACCGTATTGCTTTACATAATTATTGTTTTAGTTATCAGTACATTTACAGATATGCAAGCATCTAAATTACACTGTTTCACTTATGGTACATTTAACAACAGCTGTGATATCCCACAATAGAATACTTTCTAGGAGTAGTCTATTAACTACTTTGGTGTTACTGCTTTAATCCAATGACAATAGTTTCCTCTGCTATAGACAATTTAAAATAGTTCATTAAGAGAAATATTCAGTGTATTAAAAAGTCAAGAGAAAGTATGTATAATTTTAAACACCTAAATTGTTTCTCAAGTTGAGAAATAGTCAAGCAAGCAAGACAAAGAATGGAGTCTTTGGGAAGCTTAATATCCAAAAGAGCTACTGATATACTTTATTTCTCTTGTTGTCTTCTTTTCTCTTTTATTTCCCTAACACATTTCCATACCTGGAAAATATCTTCAACAATCTCAAATGCTCATTGATTAGAAAGATACTGCAAGTTCACAGAAAAAAAGAATATATATTTAAAAAAAAAGAGCAACAGGAATGCTGAAACTTCCTGAGTCTTATCACAACCATGTCTCATGGCTAAACAGAATGGAGCCTTAAAAAAAACTTTTAACAAGCCACTAACTGTAATGTACATTTTAGCAAGTATACAATGACCCTATGCAAAATACACCTCCTTAGGAGTTATCACTAAATCAGTTCAAAACATGGCAGTGGGGAAATACTGCTATTTGGAAGGTAAGCATTGCAGTATAACGAACAGCACGAATGAACTACTTATATGACTTTTTTTTTTTTTTTTTGCAAAGTTTATTGACCACAAAAGGCTGTTTTAGTCAACTCAAAGCTACTGAAAAATTCAAAACAAACATTTCAGCCCCCGCCCTCCCGAGAGTAAAAAAGCTCCTGGAAGAACACAAGATGATAATGTTGCCTGCTAGCCTTCCTCTGCTAGCCAGAGGTTAAAGCATTCACCCAGGATGCAAAAACCCCAAGTTCTCATCTATGAGGCAGTTTGGGCCTGAATGTAGGTCTTTGGCATTCCAAGTCAGTCTTAATTGTCAGGCTGCAAGTATACTCTGAGGTGGGTCTTCCCCATTCTCTCCTATTGTTCTAGAAATGGAGAAGAGTGAAAATGGCTCCTGAGATTCCTAATTACCTAACTCTCCTGAAACAGCGGGCATCTAGAACCGTGCCTCTGACTCATTGAGTGTTTAAACACATCAATAAAAAGGTAGAACAGGCATCCACAGAAAAGACAGAATTCCATGATGATTTATATACTTCCTGGAGTATGTTTGACATGGTCCAAACCATTTCTGCAAAAATCACAATTATGACTTTAAAACAACTAGGATGCAGTCTAACCACCGTCCTCTAATAGGTAAAAGAATGCCGCTGACATCTTTGCAGCTCTGTCAATGGTGCTTAAATCTAGCTCCTCTTTTCTTTGGGTTTTTCTTTCCTAAGAAATGATGGCAATAAAATTAATTTGTTCAAGGCTAAATGGAATATTTGTACAATGAAAAGAGGGCTTTCATTCCAGTGAGAAAGTACAAAATGTCTCGTTATTTAGTCAGACAAAAACTAAACTGCAGAAGCACTGGTGCTTTAACTCACAAACCAGAAACTCTACTGTGTAGGTCAGAAAATTCAGCTTCTAAGTTTAAAAAAATTAGGCCACTTGCATATTCTATAGGCCTTCCCCTCCTTTTATACCAACTCTAGAATCAACCCGAAACTCCACATCAGGATCCTTTAGTTCTTATATTTTGAGCAAATTATTGTAGCCTAGTATAAAGCTTCCACAGTTAAAAGCAGAAAGCGGAGACAAGTCTTTTCTCATGCCAGGAACCACAATTTGTACACGTTTATACAAAAGTTATTGGGATCTTTCTGGATTAAAGGCAGTGTATGCATACACATATATAGATAGATAGATACAGACACACAGTCTCATCCATGTGTGCGTGCTTCTTTATTTATCATATATGCAATAAGCATCGTAATGACTGATTATCTGGTTATGGCCTGCAGCAGAAGAACTGAAAGCCAGCCTAACTTCAAACACTCTCTCTCAACGCAGTTTGATATTTCAGATATTTCTATTTCCTGAATTTTACTAAACTACTTGCCCTAGTAACATCCAAAAAACCCCTTTAAAATCAATTCCAAATGCACCACATTTTTAGTACGCTTGTTTACTTCTTGAAATTAGAAATAATAATATCCAAACTGCACACCACACTCTCTCCTAGTTACGTTGTACATAAAGTATGTTGCTTACCACTTCAGAACTCATGACTTGTCTTAACATTTACTTAACCCAAAAAGAAAAAAAAAAGGTTCATCACCTATGCATTTGCTCTGATACTAACGGAAAAAAATTATTTAAGCCTTGCATGTTGTTCTCACCCTTCCACCTAAACTTCCCTCACTAATTCCTAGAGAGCCTAGATA